AAGGAAAAAATAAATGAAGAAAAGGAATAAGAAAAAGCTAAGGTGCAGGATAGAGTTTTCATTTCACTGCGTTTCGAAGCTGGCTCACCATGTGATGTCATACAACAAATAAGCAAATATCTACGAAATGACAAGAGTCGTGGAGGTTGTTAGTGGGCGCGAAGAGAGGTGTAGCAGAAGAAGGCCATGAACAACGAGGGACATACACAAAGAGCCCCGCTGCATTCTCGGGAAGTTGATGAATGGACCGCTAGTCCTATGCTGTGGGGGGAACGGCAGCGGAACGAATGCCGGGATCGCCAGCAGGCTGACCACCAGACAATGCAGCACTGATCGAAAGCAACAGTTACATAGCTGGAAAACGACGCCCTCAAAGGGCAGCTAAGCGAAGTACCAAACTACGTCCTTTTTATGCGTTTTTTACAGCTATGCAATGCAAAAAACGCATATTGACGAGAAGTTTTCTGTGTGTGTGTGTGTGTTTGTATGTGTGTGCGTGTGTGTCTGTGTGCGTTTGTGTGAGTGTCCGTGTGTGCGCAGGGCCTCTGTACCGGTTTTTCATCTCGAGACCTACAAAAGCTACGGGACTGAAACTTTGGGGACTTAATCTACATTCACGTGCGGGCCGCCATCCCCAAAATGGGCGGTCTTCCCCTCATGGTGCCTACGTAAGAGCCCGCCAAAGTTTTTTACGAGTAAGCTGATAACTCGCGAACCAGAAAAACAAGAGAGCTGAAATTTTATTTGAATGTTCCTCGTCCAGGTAGGTATTAATGAGCCCAAACCCAACCCTCCGGGTAATCATTCTACCCGCGTACGAGCCTGCTAAAATTTTTCCTGCATAAATTCATAACTCGAGGATCTGAGATGCTAGAAAGCTGAAATTTTGAGGGAATGTCCCTTGTCCAAGTAGGTACTAATGAGCTCAAACTCAACCCCCCGTAAGCGTGGTACTCGAGTGCAGGCCCGCAAGATTTTTTTTACAGGTAAGCTGCTAACTCGCGAATCAGAAAAGCTAGAAAGCTAAAATTTTAAGGGAATGCTACCCGTCCAAGGAGGTACTAATGAGCTCAAAATCAACCGTGTACGGGCCCGCCAAGCCCGGGGATCTGAGACTCTGGAAGACTGTAACACTAAGAGGGTGTTTCCTGTCCACATTAGTCTCAACGAAATCAAACCCAGCCCTTTGTCATGCGTAACATCTACGCACGAGTTCACCAAAGCCTCTCCCGGGTAAGCTCATAACTCGAGAACCCGTAAAGCTAAAAGACTTGGTTTCAGGAAGATGTTCCCCCTCCAAGTAAGTCTCAACGAGCTCAAACCCAGACATCGGGCATGCGTCGTACCCGCGTGCGGGCCCGTGAAAATTTTTCCCCGTAAATTGTTAACTCAGGAGCCAGGAAAGCTAGAAAGCTGAAATTTTAAAGGGGTGTTTCCTGCCAGTTTTGGCG